CCCTAAGATGCACTGTGGAAATGGTCACTGAACAGGCATTCAGTAGTTGTGAACTGAACATTCATTATCACTCTTACAGCACAGACCTTCCCCCCTCCTTGAGATTAGGGAATAGATATCCATCTTTTCTTGGCTGTCAGTTGTAATCACTCTGTGTTTTTATGTAGATTATCTTGATAATGGCAATAATAAAATGGCAATCCAGCAGGCAGATAAACTGCTAAAAAAACACAAAGATCTTCACTGCGCTAAGGTAAGTTTGATTGCTCTTCATTATGTTATTTTACTGAACAAACACAGTTCTGAAATTTGGAGAAATTCTGCTGTCCCATTCAAGCTTCCAGTAATCTGTGATATTTTTTTTTAACAGAGGCCACAGTGTTTCTTAAAATCTTTCAGAAGGTTAATAGAACACTTTAAATCATGTAATATCATGTTTGTTTGAAAATGTGTTAAGAAATGTTACTTTCTAAACTGCAAAATTCTGCCCTTTGGCTACTATGATGTTACCAGGACTTCTGCTGTTCTAGCCCTCTTCCAGGCTTCTGGCTACTGATGCAGCTGCGACTTGTCAGAGCTTTCCCAAGCTGCTGGAAAGTGAAACAGATGTGAATATTGTTAGTTTCTCTTTTGACCCCATAGTTCTGAATAGCAGTAGTGAAAACTGGTGAGACTGGTTGGTTTTCACTCTGCTACAGGTAGGGAAAATTGAGCAGCAGCAAAAGCACTGAAACTGGCAGTCTACACAGACTGAGGAAGGTAGCACTGCATCATTTTACATCACTGGTTTTCAACCTTTTTTTCATTTGCAGGCCCCTAAAAAATTTTGAGTGGAGGTGCAGACCCCATTAGAAATCTGAGACATAGGTTGAAAACAACAGTTTTACACTATTCACATTTGGAAGTTTTTCTTCGCAACACCTCCCCCCCCTTTTTATTTTTATTTTATTAAATTGATGGCACTCACTTAGACAAGTCCCTTTCTCACCATGGGCAAGTGGATTTTTCTCTAATAATGATCCTTTGTTTCAAAATAAGTTTTTCTTCTGTAGATGTTGGCAATGTTTTTCAATAGCTGCTTCTTTATTACATGTGTAGGTTTTAAAGGCAATCGGCTTGCAGAGAACTGGGAAACAAGATGAAGCGTTTGCTCTCGCACAAGAAGTAACAGCACTCGAACCTACAGATGACAACTCTTTGCAAGCACTAACTATCCTTTACCGGGAAATGCATAGACGTAGGTTTTTTTTATTTTACTTTTCTCCTGCAAATTTCAGTTTCTTGATCATAATTATGTAACCTTTCCTTGGGCCTTTCTTTAAAATGAATTATTGCCCAAAATTCAAAGGGAAATGTACAAAGTCCAGTTTTCACACATGGGCACTTGAATAGGTGGTTCAGACATGGGATTCAGATGCCCAGTTTGGCACAGAACTGCGTAAATGCCCCTTTGACATGCAAGTTTCTATTGATCATCTTAAAGCAAGATGTTCTGGTTAGGCTCCTATTATTGAAAATTGGGTCCAGAGTAATTTTAACATTGTATGTTAGTCATAATATCAAACAAATTCATTCAAATTTATTCCAGCAAAAAACATGTGATGTTGTTGTTGTTACTTTAAATAGGAATAATGTAAATCATAAACGGCTAATACTGTATATGAATTTTGAAGAAGCAATTTAAAATAATGTATATAGACACAATCAAGGAATTTAGCCCCTCAAAATAGCTTTAGAAGTTGTGTTGCAGACTTAGAGGGGAAATCCCGACCCCTCCCTTTCCTGTTACTCTTTTGAAAACAATTCATCTGAATCATAACTTCTTGGGTCATTCAGTAAACAAAGTTGTGCATGCTTTCTATGAAAGAGAAAGCATATGTGGTTTGGTTAGTCTGCAGCACAAGGAGATACCTTATCACTATTCTGAGGAGGTGTCAGTAATGTTCATTATCAGGTTTATTGCAGAAATGATTGTAGACTGAAAAATTGGATTATTTTTACATGAGAAGGTGTAACTATCCAGGGCCATTTCTTGACATATAGCAACCTCTTGTGTCCTTTATTAGTTAATTTCCAGTACATAATCTTTGCTTTGTTAAAGCACTTTTATTGTAATAATATGAAATCTCTTCATATCTGCCTTTAAATCTTTATTTCTACAATTCTCAACTTAAAAACCAGAAAAATATAAACATAAATAGAACTGACTGTAGTACACGTAGAAATTAATTATTCAAGAATATATAAAATCATACTAAACCTTATTAACAATAATACCTTGCATGTATATAGTGCTTTTATGTGAAGAATAATTTGAATTTTTAAGAAAAGTACATTCAATAATGATTGTGTGGGTAAGTACAAATAATTTTTGGGTGCGAGGGGGAGAAGGGATGTTAAAATCAAATACAAATAGTGTTTAGGTCTCCTAAATATCTAATCATAAGAGACCTATATTAATAGGTTTATCTTTTAATAAATTATCTTTGTATTAAATTATTAAAAGAGATAGAAAGCATAAAAGTCACTTGGGAAAGATCAGGGCTTCTTAATGCATAGCATAGTCGCTCCTAATACGTTAGGCAGTGGTTCTCAAACTGTATGTCGGAACCCCAAAGTTGGTCATGACCCCATTTTAATGGGGTTGCCAGGGCTGGCGTTAAACTTGCTGGGGCCTGGGGCCAAAGTGTCCCACAAACCTCTTTGCCTGGGGCCGGAGCCTTCAGTCCTAGGTGGCAGAGCTCAGGTTATAGGCCCCCCGCCCAGGGCTGAAGCCCTTTGGTTTTGCAGTCCCCCCCCAGGGCGGCGGGCCTCAGGCTCAGTCCCCCATCCTGAATTGTGTAGTGATTTTTGTTGTCAGAAGGGAGTCGCGGGGCAATGAAGTTTGAGAACTGCTGCATTAGAGAAGTTTCCTTAAAACGATTTAAACTTGAGGAATTCATTCTGTGTCTTAATAAATCATGTATTTAAAGTAGACAGTCTCCATGTGACCCAAGTATAAATCTTGAATTGGTGTAATGCCCCCAGATGGGTGAATTCGGAAGTTTTTTAACCCCAACACATGACGTACCTGAAAGCATTCAGTACGTTTCTGAATGTTTTAGTCTTTTTTTTTTTCTATTTTTTTACACACACTTTTTCTAAACATTTCTCTTTCTTGCCTACTGTGTGTTTGTGGGAGAGATAGACCAGTTCCTATAGGTGTTGAGTGTAATTTAATTACTCTGCAAAGTATCCCAGATGTTATCTTGAGGTAGCTGCTTTATAACTTTATATTCCAAATTTGTGAGAACTGAAACATCTGTTTTTGGTTTAGCGGAGTTGGTAACAAAACTTTACGAGGCAGCTGTAAAGAAGGTTCCCAACAGTGAGGAGTATCATTCTCATCTCTTCATGGCCTATGCCAGGGTCGGGGAATACAAGAAAATGCAACAGGTACCTTCATCCATTTCAGTTATAGTAATCGTAGGTGTCGCATTTAACAATAGTGGGGACAAAGTTCTTAGAAGTGTGGTTTTTGTTTTGTTTTTTCCTCCAATGAAACAAAGTAACTAATAAATCTAACATTTCCCTAAGGCTCTTTTCTGTATCAGACTGTACTAGTGACCAACACCTTTTAAAATTATATTTAATTTTCTAGAAAGCTGAGCTGAATCAATACTAAAATTCTACGTCATGATTATATATTTGATACAGGGTTGGTTAGACAGAACTATTACTCAGATTTGTGTTTTTTATATAAAAGACAATTGCTTCCTTTCCCCTTAAAAAGAGAAGAATAACTTTATGAACTGTAGTCTGTACTGATGCAGTATTGTTGGATGGCCTTCTTGGCATAGTAGCTTCCTATTGATATCTATATCAGAGAGTACTAAGTTTACACATAAGGGAGTGTATTAGGCAGGAATATTTAGCTTTACTGAGAGCTCCTGAGGGCCACAATTTCAAAAAATGTACAAACTTGTAAAGTTTTCTTTCTTTCTTTTTTTTGCCCGCACTCTTATCTCTAGAAACCAGTGTGGAGTTAAATTGTGCAGCTTGTATTTTGATAGAAGAAAAGCTTAGTTGTTTTTTCTTTACATGCATCTTGGTTTTCAGTTGGCAAGACAATCTCATGCCTGTTAGTTTTGTTTTTCATTCTTTCCAAATTAGGTGCCTGGAGAATGCCTATAAATGGAAGTCTCTTTTCAAATCGTACACACACTCCCTTTTTTATGTATAAAAAGCACAGGGAAGCAGGCAAATTGATTTCAGTCTCTCTTTTCCCACTGTATTAAGGTGACTCGAATCTCTGTACAAAGACCCTGTCTCCTCAACCAAAAAATAGTTGAATAATGGTGATGAATCTCTGTGTGGCCCAGCTGTAAGTGGCTTAATTCGACTGGGCACTGAATCATTAGTATATATGGTGCCTTAGAGAATGATTAACTTTTTATCAAATGACTCTTCATAAAAGGCTTAAATCTGCAATATCATTGTAAAATCATTGTCTCATTTCAGATCTGTCCTGAATTGGTAGGCTAATTTAGACTGCTACTTAAAAATAGTTCTTATTGTACTAATCGCTTCTCGGCTCTCTATGAGCTGAGGGGTGAAAACATTAGTACTTTCAGTATTTATTTAAAAATAGCTGTAGATTTGACCACAACACCAAGGAATGTATCTGGTTTGCTAATCCCTAAATTTGCTACGACTGTGCTTGTTACCCACTTGTTACCCACTTGATCCATGTCAGTGAGACTGAAGTCTCAGAAAAGCCAACTACACCAATCTCTTGCAAGCTGTGACATTGCACTGATATACGCATATCACCAAGTTACAGCTTTATTAATCAGAGGGAAATATATATTCCTGCAAAGTGCTAAATACCAATATAGAGAGATCTGGTTTATTCTTGTTTGACATACCTGCATCTGAATATCAAAACAATTTTGGATTTACAATTTTTCCATACTAAAAGGGCTAGATTCTAGTCTGACTTGCAATGTATCATGCAATACATGATATTGCAGTTGTGCAGAAAGAGAACTTTTGAGATATGCTATGATAGTTGTGAGTTGGATATTAATCTAATCTTAACATTTTGCTTGTTTTAATGGATTTTTTTTGTTTGCATAGATAGAGGCTTCAAATAATTCTTGATTGGCCTTGACTTTGATTTAATGTCTTAAATAAGGATTATATTTATACTGATATTTGGGAACACAGAATTAGTTTGCTTCATGCTTGCTTATGTTAAAAATGATTATGCATGTCATTTTTATTTTGGGTTTTACAAAAAAAAAATCCATTACTGCCATCATTTTTATATACGATACTCTTTATATATAATTCTAGACAGCCCTCTGTGTGTTTTCCATTTAAAGAACTTGTTGATTTCAAAAGAAACAGGCATAAGCATGCATTTACATTTCAGGGTTCAAAATCAGTAGGATCCTGAGATCTCTAATAATGTCAGGCCATCTAAAAATGAAGTACGTTGCTCTCCCAGATTAGCAGTGCTAAGGAGGTAAAAGGTCTAGAAAATGAAGAATTCGTCTATAGGTGAAGTGTGCTTAATTTATGGCTGAATTAAGCAAAGTCCTTTTTTGCTGCTCTGACAACTGCGTTGATTGTATAGAACTCTGACCAGAATCTTAAAAAAAAGCTTTTTGCATAGATTTGCAGTGATGCAAACGTCCTTCAGTAAGAAACCTCGCTGTTTACTCTAGGCCAGTATATAATGCTACTTTACTAGCTGAATATGAAATCTGAAATTCAGACATTTCACCTTCTAATAATTGTACTCTTAGCTGGAATAATGAATGGAAAATACCAGTCTTATATGGATACAAAATGTTACATAAATGCGAAATATTCTGTTCAGACCATTGTACAAACGTGTATCTGATTAAATTATCTAGATTGGTAATGCTCGTAAATGGCAAATATAGGGTGTTTTTGAATGGGTATCTAATACACCTCTACCTCGATAAAACGCTGTCCTCGGGAGCCAAAAAATCTTACTGTGTTATAGGTGAAACCGCGTTATATCAAACTTGCTTTGATCCACCAGAGTGCGCAGCCCCGCCCTCCCGGAGCGCTGCTTTACCGCGTTCTATCCGAATTCGTGTTATATTGGGTCGCATTATATCGGGGTAGAGGTGTAAATGTAGGAAAGTTAAGTCTTCGTTTATATAGAGACATAATGCTTGTGTGAGGAATGTGTGAATAAGAATAACTTCCATTCTAAGTTAAGTGACTGAAGACTTAGCTGTATGTTGATATTTAGGGCCATATTTTCAACTGGGCGTCTCTTGTGCCACATGCCTTCAAAATCTGAACACATGCATGTGCAAGTTAAAAATGTTCAAGTGCAGGTGTTTACATTGCAAAGCGTGCGCTTGGTTGTATGTATACAATGAACATGTGCAAAAATGGAGACCAGAGCTGAAACCTTCCTTTAATCTGCAGAAGTAGGTAGTGTGTGTACACATGCGTGCACCCTGTATCTAAAGCTATAGGCTCTTCAAATAATCACTCTTCTAGAAATGCCTTTCCAGGCCAGCTGAAGCTATAATACACTTTAAAAAGTAGCAGCAGATGCAGGGAGAGAAACTGCATCACTACCAGTATAGATCTCGGTGGAGGGTGTTTGCTAGGGAGTATATCCAGTTGGGGTTAATAAATTCTTATCTGGTCGCTAATCCTCAGGAATTGTTTGTCACTGTTGTTATCACTCTTTCACTTTCTATAATGCACCTTATAAATTGAAGCATTTTTGAAATGATGGATACATGTCTTATATTTTTCAGGCTGGAATGGCACTTTATAAGATTGTCCCCAAAAACCCTTACTACTTTTGGTCTGTGATGAGCCTAATTATGCAGGTGAATACAGCATTTTGATTGAATTAAAGACTTTAACAGTGGCTGTAATGTTCACATTGAGATGTTGTGGGTGTTTTCACATTATGAAAAATACCCAATAGCTTTCTTAAATAAGCTGGCTGGCTGCCTGCTAGCATTGTAGGGTGCTACTATTTCTGTATAAAGTCAGTGTAAACACTGAACCCTCCTCAAATCTATATTTCTTGTGTGGTCCAGAAACTTCCTGACAGACCTCCTTTAGGGTATGTCTATGCTATGGACTTACAGCAGTACTGCTGCAGCTGCGCGACTGTAAAGTCTCTCATGTAGCTGCTCTGTGCCAACAGGAGAGAGCTGTCCCGTCAGCATAATTAAACCACCCCCAACGAGCGGCAGTAGCTATGTTGGCGGGAGAGTGACTCCCACCAACATAGCACTGTCCACACCGGCACTTTTGTCAGTGAAATGTATTTCAGTCAGGAGGGAAGGTTCACACCCCTGACGACAGAAATGCTAGTATAGATATAGCCTTAGTCAGGCAAAAAATAAACATGGAAATAATAATTGTATGCGTTGAAATAATTTGATTGTAGAAGAAATGAATTCAGTAAGTGACTTGTATTTTTATTGATAACACGTTGTCTGTGACGTTGTTCTGAGACTCAAGTTGTGAAGAGTGAGCACTTCATTGTACCATCAGTTGCTTCCCCAGCAGCATGTTTTACAAAACGCTGTGTCCATCCATGTTGCTGATGGTAGCCCTGATGGGTATTTCGTGGGTTGTTGCGTGTCATGTTTCCCGCCTGATGAAAAAAATAATTTTGAGCTGGACAATAGGAAAGGCTGATAAATTGCTACAGTAATTCTTCTCTCTCCCCTAGTCTATTTCAGCACAAGATGAAAACCTCTCCAAAACAATGTTTTTGCCCCTAGCTGAAAGAATGGTGGAAAAAATGGTGAAGGAGGATAAGATTGAAGCTGAGGCTGAAGTAAGTTTTGCAAATGTGTTTTCTACTTGATGTGAGCATGGTTAATACATTGTATGAGCTTTATGTTGTGCTAACAATATAGCTTAATGACTTTGTATAGCATACCTAATACTGAGTCTGGTTCCCATTATAGTGCTCTGTAATCTTTTTTATTATTAAGTACACAAAGTAGAAGGCTTGCTGGTGATCCAGGGGAGCTGGCTGGTCAATGCTGGCTCTCCATTTCCAGCTGGTAACTCTCAATAAAAACAGCTCCAAATATTACTCTCCTAATATTCCTGTTCAAGGGAAGGAATTGCTGTGGTTGCCACAGGGATGTTATATGATTGCTAGTGTGAAGGAAGGTGGCCTATGCAGACATGACTAGAGAGAACATGGTCCGTGAGACAAACTATTGAAGTGTGACCCACTCTATGGATGTTTAAGAACCCCTAAAATAGAAAACAAGTTCTGTGTCTCAGAAGAACTCACAAACTTAATACAAGTACATTGCAGCCAGGGATTCTAATTTTCAGTTTAAACCGAAAACAGTAGCTGTTGAGACAGTTGCAATAGTAACTTCAAAAGCTGACTTTGAGAAATCATAGAATGGTCAGATTCTTTCAAAGGGACTGTCAGTGAAATACATGTCCTGTTCACTTTTTCCGCTGGTACACATCCAGTCCGTGCTCTCTGGGCTTCTCCTCTTGGTCAAACAAAGCAGTATGGTCAGCAGCTTTTCTTATGTGGTTACACACAGGGAGACAAAAGAAATGTTGATATTCACATTTGTTTAAAAAATGGATTTTCATTGCTAATTAAACAGACTTCTGCAGTCAAGTTGAACCTATATAACAATTTTCTGGGAAGTCACAAGGTGCAAAAGTAACCAATAACACGATGAAAGTGAGTAAAAATCAGAACTGAAAACTGAAATTTAGTTGAACAGGACAGCAATGTAGATGCAAAGAGGGGGAGGGGAATCTTAGCAATGCATTTATAAGCATAGGGGCCCCATGGCCAAAGGGAGTTTTGAGAAGAGAAACTGAGAAAGGAGAAGGTGGTTGGTGTACAGAAAGTAGGAGACTGCTGCATGAAATAAGGTGTGAAGCAGGGAGCGAGAGCAGGAAGACAAAGGGAGCAGTGTGGAGAGAGGATATAGAGGAGCATAAGGAATGAAAGGGTGTTGGAAGGAAGTGAGGGCAGAGGTTGTAGGTGGTGTAAAATTGTGAAGAGTTCATTGCTAGATGAAGTGATTTCTTTGTAGTGTTTGTAAAGCCCAGGGGATCCTTTGGGATTAGAGGGCGTTAAATTAAATTCTTGAATTTTCCTTTCTGGTGGCTATTAGACAGTTTTACAGACAGCGTTGACTTTCTCCTCTTCCTAATGACAGAAGCACAAACTGTTTTTATTTCCAGACACTTTTCACTTGTTTTACTTCCAAATGTCAGTGTATACAAATCTTTCTTCTAAGGTTGAACTTTACTACATGATACTGGAACGTTTGGAGAAGTATCAGGAAGCCTTGGATGTTGTTAGAGGAAAACTAGGAGGTAACTTATCTTTCAGTCAATTAACAACCCCAGCTGTGTGGAGGTTTGCCGGTATTCTTGCTTTTCCCCCAGGTCTTTTGCTGGGAACTTGTATGATGTGGATTTAATTGTTCTGCATGTGTACTCGTTTAAAGATAGCTATAAATTAACTTAACTCCTACCAGTAACATACCTTGAGCCTAATTCTGCAGATTTTCTTACTGGTTTCATCAGACTGCTTGTGGTATTACTACACGCAGGAGTGTTTGCAGCATCAATTCCATTATCTGTGTTAAAGTAGCAGCATGTTGTACAAAGGGCAGTTATCAGATTAACATAACTGAACCCACAAAATCCCATCATGTCAGCTCACAACTACCAGTGCTGCTAGGGGTGGCATTATGCCCCTTCCTCCTGGATGATTTTAGAGCTTTATTTTTCTACCACAAAAGTGAATTTGTCGCGTAAGAGCAGCCCGAATATCAAGGTTCCAGTCAGACTCTACAGTTCTGCACCCAGTCCTGTGTAGTTTTCAAGGGAAGGTTTTGCACCCGGGTCCCGCAGCTTCTGAGCCATGCTTCTAACAGAAAAAGGAGGGTAGTGATGTGTTATTGAGACGATTGTTTTAATAGAGTTTCTGTCCCTCCTTATGTCAGCTGTTGGCCAATAATTAGGCATAAAATGTTTTCTTTCTAATCGCAGGTTCAGCACTTTCCTCAGTTGGAAAATAGGTGCTGATCCAGCAAAGAGTTTCTAGTGCTGATGCAGAACATAAGAACAGCCGTATCGGGTCAGACCAAAGGTCCATCTAGTCCAGTATCCTGTCTACCGACAGTGGCCAATGCCAGGTGCCCCAGTAAGTTGAGGTACCAGGTCTTAAAAATAATTAAATGTTAGGACTCCCAGCTTTTCAATAACAAAGCACTCATTTCTAGCACCATTGACCTGCAAGATATAGGACCTTAAATCTGTTACTGACCTCTTGGTTTAGCAGTGCTTTTTGGCATTGATCCTGGACTTCAGTCCTGGCCCTCCAGTCTTGGAGAAGAATGTGTTTTCTCTCTTGCATCCTGTGTAGGATAAAATACTTTGTTCTGAAAGTTGTTAAAGAAAAATGATTGAGGAAGTAAATTCACAACTGTTTCTGATTTAGAGAAGTTGACTAGTGAGCTCCAGAGTCGAGAGAATAAGTGTATGGCGATGTATAAGAAGCTGTGCAAGTGGCCAGAATGCAACGCACTGTCCAGGAGGTTGCTACTGAAAAAGTAAGTTGTGTTCACATCTATGCTACTGACTCACTCTGTGACCTTGGACAAGTCACGTCACCACAGTACCTCAGCTGCTTGTCTCTCCAGGTTTGAGCCTGAATGCTTGAAAAGTGTTGGAGATCCTCTGATGAGAGCTGCTAAGACAATGCAAATTATCATTTGTTCACATGGAAGTTCCGCTAACTGTCACAGTGAACAAATGAGTTGTGCAACGTGTGCTTTCCTGAAATAAACTAATTTCATTCTCTATTTCCAGAGGACCATACCTTGCTGTCCAACATTCTAATTTTCAGAAAAAATGCAAACTTGTACTTGAATTGTCATTTCCTACAACTATTTCCTACAATCTAGTTCTCTTAATCTGCCAGGCTTCCTTCTGGTGGCTGATTTACACTACCACTTAAGTCAATGTAACTTGTCACTCGGGTGTGAAAACAACACCCCTTGAGCGACATAAGTTACATCGACTTAAAGCGGTGTCTATACCGTGCTGTATCGGTAGGAGACTCTCCCACCCACACAGCTTCCGCCTCTTGCAGAGACAGAGTAATTATGCTGATGGGAAAGTGCTCTCCCGTCGGCATAGCGTCGGTTCACAGCAGTGTAGACTTGCCCTAGGAAATACACTGACATGTTCAAAGCAGCAGATGCATCAGAACAGAGCAAATCAGGATGATCAGATCTGCCTCTGAGACAGTCATGAGGGTTTGTTGTAAGGACTAGGACACAGTTAATGGGATTATAGTGAATCCTGTCTGAAGCTGCCATCCAAGCGATCAAAAACATCTTACTTAGAAGAACTGTTCTTTAGCAAAAGGTTGAACGTAACTATAGTGGAAATCCTGGGGAGATTTTAAAGCCTAGAGTCTTGGGGGGGTTGGGGGAGGACCGGAGGGAATGACAACAGCTAAGGTTACTACAATTGAAACATTAGATATAGAGAGAAAAGTTTTCAGTTTACTTCGTGCATTCTGTAGCACTTTGTATATAGTCAGTTTCACTTGTTTGTTGATGGTCAGATGCATTTCCCAGCTCCTACATTAGCAATTTGGTGGTGCTACTCTTGAACCTGCTCATTCCCTTGTTGGAAAGGCCTTTATAAATGTTAATGAGAGCCAAAATCCCTTTTAAAAAACTGTAAAAGAACTTCAAATATAAATCTGGACTTGAGTTTCTTGAAATATGTTGGTTTTAGAAACCTGCTTAACAGTGCCCCTTTAAGATGGGAAATTTTCTAGTGGAAATGGTTCTTGGTGCGTTTTTTCCCCTGTGTTTTAATTGTTCTGTGACTTGCAAGATCTAACAATGTTTTTATAAAGGACTAGACTTGCATGTGTGAGTAACATTATTTGCACTTTCCTTAATTTTGCTCCTTGCCTGTTTTTTAGCTCGGATGATTGGCAGTTCTATATAATTTACTTTGATTCAGTCTTTCAACTCATTGACAAATCCTGGACTCCTCCAGCAGAAGGAGAGCAGTAAGTCAACTACTATCCCTGAGGGTTTTTTCCTCTTCATACAGTAGATGTCAAAATCCTAGTTTGTCCCTTGATAGTTTTACTTTAATGAAGGGATGGGCAATTTTAAGGTAGTTGAGGGCCACAAAACCCACTAAAACCATTGATGGGCTGGGGTTTGAGACTTGGAGGTTGGGTCCTGCCCCTGAAGGGAGTGTTGGGAGTGAGCTTACCTTGTGGCAACAGCTCCTGTCCTTCAGAGTTGAGCTCGGCTCCCTGCTCTGGCAACTTGGCTCTTGCCACAGTGTCACGTAACACATGAGTAGGCGGGACCCTCCCCCTGCAATCTGATGCCCTGTCTCTGTCCTGACCCTGGGACTGCCAGGTTGCCTACCCAATCTGGGCTGCGGTGGGAAAAATAGAACAATTTGGCAGGCCAGATGCGGACCCCAAGCCGCCAGTTTCCCATCCTTGCTTTAGTGTATCCAGTATCGGTAAATAGCTAGTGTAAGTGCATGCTAATGTAGAGCTCTCTATCTCAAGAGTTATCATGGCTGCTGGCACATAATGTGCCCGAGCTACTTAGCTGCGGAAGCTGGTCCCTGTTCCAAGAGGGCACTGACCCCCTCTGGAGGCATGCATATAATGCTAGTTTTGACTTTACTAGAGCTTCCTTAACCTGCTCCCTTCACAGAATCTGGGTCAGAGAATCAGTCGAACCTGATTGCTTTGAGGGAGTGATGTTAAGGCATGCTTACCACTTACTGCCAGTGCCTCAGAAATGGGAATGATAGAAGAATACTTGAAATCAATACTCATATCTTTAACTGCACAGCTCTCTGGAAGGAGAAGTGCATTATTCTACAGAGCAAGCTGTGAAATTTATAGAGGAGAGGATAACAGAAGAAGCTAAGAGCTCTCGGCCACTTCGGGGACCCTACCTAGCCGAACTGGAGCTGATTAGACGTTTGCGACACAGGGGTTGTAAGGATGAATATAAACTAGGTAAGAGCCACTAATTGGATGATAAATTAAACCTTAAGGGAAAGAACACCAACCTAGAACAAGCTCTTTGTACTGGGATCATCAATTTAGTAGTGCCTGATGTAAAGTGTGTGCAGGGATTGCATGCATAAAGCATCTTCAGATGAAAGGTGTTATAGAAGGTCAAATATTATTCCGATAACAATTCTAGAGTGTTTTAGACCTTTTAAAACTAGGTCTTTGGGGGAGATTTCAAAGGCACCTAATCAGTTTAGGAGCACAAACCCAGTGACTTTCAGTGGGAGTTGTTCTTTGATAAATCCCTTAATAATTTTGAAAATCCTCTCCCTTTGTCATCCTTAGTGTAATCACCGGCTGATATTTCTTTGGGCTCTTTGGCAGACTTGTAAATGAGAACAATAATGCTTGTTAAATGCACTTATTGGGGGTTTCATGAGTGTAAAAAAAAAACACTTTGGGGAGTGGAGTAAGGAAGAGAATGTGGCTTAATATTAGCAGGGTTTCTGCAGACCCTATTTAAATTAACTCATTTTGCACTTAGATGCAGGAAAATAAATATCATCAGATAAATTGTGAGTGGGTAGCTTGAAATAGTCTGTTTTTTTTCCCCCTCTCTCATTCTTTATCAGATGGGTTAAGCTTTCTGATTGACTGTAAGATCTGAAATGAAACTATCATGATTTGTAAATCACTGTTCAACTTTGAACATAAGAAACTGCTATGAATACGTTCATTTGCAGGACTGAAAATTCCTCATAATTATATTTGGGCTTGGCAGAACTCTACTTTTTCTTTAAATAATTTTGACAGAGAATATCTGTTTTTAAGCATTTTTTTTCTATTTTCATTGGTTTAAATTTTCACAAGTCCTGGAAATTATGGCTGGGAGGATCAGTCAGTCATTATTTAATGACCGTCTAATACAGTGGTTCTCAACCAGGGGTCCGGAGCCCTCTGCGGGCGACCCAAGCATAGAATCATAGACTTTAAGGTCAGAAGCGACCATTATGATCATCTAGCCCAGGGGTCGGCAACCTTTCAGAAGTGGTGGCCGAGTCTTCATTTATTCACTTGAATTTAAGGTTTCGCGTGCCAGTAATACATTTTAACGTTTTTAGAAGGTCACTTTCTATAAGTCTATAATATATAACTAAATTATTGATGTATGTAAAGTAAATAAGGTTTTTGAAATGTTTAAGAAGCTTCATTGAAAATTAAATTAAAACGCAGAGCCCCCTGGACCGGTGGCCAGGCCCCGGGCAGTGTGAGTGCCACTGAAAATCAGCTCGTGTGCCGCCTTCAGCACGCGTGCCATAGGTTGCCTACCTCTGATCTAGTCTGACCTCCTGCACAACGCAGGCCACAGAATCTCACTCAGCCACTCCTGTATCAAACCTGTGTCTGAGCCATTGAAGTCCTCAAATCATGGTTTAAAAAGGAGGTTTCAGGGGGTCTGCCAAGCAGGGCTGGCATTAGACTTGCTGTGGCCCAGGGCAGAAAGCCGAAGCCCCATTGCATGGGGCTGAAGCCTGGAGTTCCAAGCCCACCCGCCCAGGGCTGAAGCAAAAGACTGAGCAACTTAACTTCACAGGACAACCTGTGGTTTGGGGCCCCAGGCAGTTCCCCTGCTTGCTATCCCCTAATACTGGCCCTGCCTTTTATATGCAGAAAAAACAGTTGTTGTGGCACAGGTGGGCTTTTGAGTTTTTATAGAATGTTGGGGGAGCCTCAGAAAGAAAAAGGTTGAGAACCCCTGGTCTAACGTTCTCAAGCAGCTTTTTTCTTACTTTGCCTAATTGCAAATTTTTGTTATCAATGGAAATATTTTTTTTTCTTTCAGTGTGTGTGTGTGTGTGTGTGTGTGCTGAAACTGATGCTCACCAAAATTTACCAATAAAAATCTAATCCTTCCAAGCCTCGTTATATTATTGACTTTGCTTCTATGTGAGCATTTAAAAAAAAAAAGATTGAACTGGCTTCTTTATAACTGAGTTTCTTTGTTAGGTGACCCAGAAGAACTAATGTTCCAATACTTCAAAAAGTTTGGGGACAAACCCTGCTGTTTCACTGATCTCAAGGTATTTGTGGACCTCCTCCCACCTAGCCAGTGTACAAAGGTAAGAACAATAGCATTGGGTGAAGTAAAGGGAGGGGTGCTGGAGACTGCTGAGTGCACCAGCTGTCAGCTGAATGCAGCTTTTGACAGTGGTGATATCAAAAGGAAACTCCCTTTCAGGGAGAGAGGGGATCAGTTTTTTAGAAAATCAAATTGCTGATAATGTAGAACTGGTTCATTTTATTCAAAATTCTGCTCTAACCAGAAGAAATAGTGTTTCTTAAAAAGCAAAAATGCCAAAGTTCTGAATAACTTCAATGGGAGACTGTGTCTGTCTCTGTCTCTCTGTGTCTGTCTGTTCCTGCAACGTGACTCCCAGCATAGAGCATGCATGGAGTAATTCAGTAACTATTTGTACGACTGAGCCTTCTTCTTGCAGTTCTGTGGTGTCCCATAACTTCTCTTGATTTTAGTGGCATAACCTCTCCTCACTCTTGTTCACGTTGTCACAGTCTGAGATATACAGTAGAGCCCAACATCTATCACCATAAAGAGGTTTATTCTCCCTGTATAAACATCCACAGCTACCATTGAAGCAATGTGAGTTAAACATGAGCGTCAAGGGAAGATAAACCTCCATGGAATGAACTTTAGTTTCTATCTAAAATATCAGAATGAATAAGATTGGCTTGTTAGATAATAGGACTTGTGTTACTGTTGTGTTAAACATTATCCTTCTTTCCTTCTCCCCTTGTCTGTCCTTGTTCATGCTCTGTGTCTAATTGTAAATACTCTCTGGGAAGATCTTTCTCTTAATCTGTGCCAAGCACCAGGAATAGTTAGGAGACTAAGTAATAAGCACCAGGAATAGTTAGGGGACTAAGTAATAACACTGTAGCAGATCTAAGTGACAGAATGGACACATCAGCATCAATTGAGAGAGATGTCTGAGACACTATTTGTATTTCTTCCAGAATCTTTCTGACCCCTACCTTATTTAAACTTAAATTGAGAGAGGATTTCAGCAGAGTCATGCGCAGCTTGGTAGATGACTTCAGCCTCTGGGAATCCTGCCACTCACCCCCTTGTTCTTCTAAGCCATTGTGGTATATTTCTCAGGGATGGGAGTTAAATAAAAAGTCCTGGATCAGTCAAAGGCTGTTAACAAAATCTATGTAAACTACATACGGGCATTGTCCATATTAGGGATCCCTCTGTTGCTAACATCGGCTCAGCTCCCCCAATGGTGGTAATGTTGGGAGCCCTACTATAGACAGACTGCTGCCAACACTTTAAGCCCCATGTTATCTAACTTGTTCAGAGCAGGTATAATCATTGTGGTGTTAAAGCCATTTTTAGCTAGGAGAAAATGATGGTAACATTGCAAGTGTAATTTTAAAAATTACTCATTTTAATTCCTAAAGTACTGAACAGGTTTAATTCTAACTTACCCTGTCTTGAGAGAGTTAATTCCTTGGAAAGAGTTGTATGGTTGGTACTGATAAATATGATTTTTAATAAATAACAATAGAATTTAATTTCTACAAAGTTAGCAAGGCGTGGAGCATTCTGGCCACAATCCAGCAAAGCACTTGAAGACATAGTTAACTTTAAGCCTGTGTGTAATCCCATTGACTTTTTTGGTACTTCCTGCATTCTTAGGCTCAGGATCCGAATATGTACCATTTTGAGGAGTGAGCCCTCTAACTTCAAATTTCAGTGCCGTTTTAATTATGGAGTTGGTACCAACACCTCCATAATCTCATTTTGTCCCAGTTTCTGAACATAAATATAAGACTTGCTGTTTTCTTGAGGTGACTAAGTGCATTGCAAAATTTAACACTTGTGTTTCCTTCCCAGTTCATCAGTCAGTTGCTGGGAATCATTCCTTTGTCAGTACCAGCAGAGGGTAAACTTGCACTACCAGCTGACATCAAAGCTTTGCAACAACACTTGTGTGTGGTTCAGCTAACAAGATTGCTTGGTCTCTATCACACCATTGACAAAAAACAAAAGCTGAGTGTAGTCCGGGAGTTAATGTTAAGATACCAGCATGGATTGGAGTTTGGTAAGAAAATTTTGAAACTAGTGCATTGCAGTTAATTCATATTTAGACTTTCTTATGGGCCAAATTTCCAAAAGCTTGTCACTTTTTGTAACATTTTTCAATTTTACCAGAAAGAAAGTAGTGGTTGTATTTGTATCTGGTTGCTTTAAACAATCCTCTGTGGAGTCTGTAACCCCAGACCCTGCAGTACTTAGTATAGAAGGGCCTGGAAGTGAAACTCACTAGAAACAAAAGTGAAATGGATCCGTTCCCTGTCCACTTTGGGGGAACTGCAAAAAGCATAAATGAGGAAATGCAATACATTGACAATTCATTCACTTTTTATAATCTGACATTAGTAACAGATGTAAGGAAATTTGGGATTTCAAAAATAATTAACCTGACAGTGTCCCTTTAAAAATGTCATCTGGTGGGCTGAAAGGCTGCCAATTTACCTCAATTTACATAGCTATGTGAGAAATGATTGGCCCTGTTTATTGAATGTAATGATTTTGATAATACATCTACTATGTGGGGTGACACTTTTTTTTCCTCTATAGGGAAATCTTGTTTGAAAACTGAATTGCAGTTTTCAGATTATTACTGTCTGCTTGCAGTTCACCTGCTTCTGGATATGTGGCTAGAGGCAGGTAAGTCCCTTCAGTCTTATTTTTCTTAAAACCTATATGAATAATTTTCTGTTTCTACATGTGTGTTTTTCATCCCTTGAACAGGAGGGTTGAACCTTGCTTCCTTCAAATCTCAGTTGTAGTTGCTACTTGTTGGGCAGAAGGTGTCACTGTTGAGTCACTCAGCATTAGTCTGTTGTTTCTGAGCGTAGCCGGGGTCCATCTCCTTGAGGCTTAACTCCCTTCTTGTCCAAAACTTATTTTACAAACAGTGCTTAAATTGCTCAACTTAGACATTAGTTATTTAAGGCTATAACAGAGATGTGTATCGAACTATTACTACTGATTATTTGTATTACATTAGCTCAGTGCTGTTCTGATCTATAGGAAGATACAGTTCCTGCCCAAAGACTTTACAATCTAAAAACAAAAAACAAAGTTTGGGGGCAAGGATACAACATTACAAGTGAAGGGCTGAGTGGTGTGGGGGTGTGACTGAATGGTCAGCATGTGGCTTGTTAGTTCTGTAGGTTTGGGATTTTGTCTGCATAAACTATCCCCAGCTGTTTAAACTATCCTCTTCTGAGCTGGTGTTTCCTTACCCAAACCTCGTTTGAAACCTGACATTTTTTAAGAATTTAAATTTTTAAGTCCCAGTAAAATCCTTAGAACTCTGCATCCTTGCTTAGGACTCCTCCCCCCCACCCCCATCCTTCCTCAATCCAGCCTCTCTCTGCATCCTTCTGCAGAGAATCTGCCCCCTCCCTTCTGCACAGCCGCCTTTTCACTGAAGAGAAATTCAAAAGTCTCTCCTGACATCAGACTGTTGGCATTGCTTTGGTATTCACCCTTTGATATTACTGATTGAGGGACCATGGCCACGGAAATTTCCCCAAAGTCCTGGCTCCATAGTGGTTGAGGGTTAGGGAGCTCCTCCTACCCCCTGGTGGTATGACAGCTACTGCCTCTCCTTTCTGGAGAAGGCTTGGTCCTTCACCCTGGGAAATCTCATGGAGAGCTCCAGCCCACAAAGTTCTCCAGGGAGGATGGCAGGTGGAGCCACGTGCCCCGAAATTCCTGGCTCTGTTGGGGGCAGGGAGTACCCAGTTAACCCCCTCTCCATGGTGCTTAAAGGCACCCTTAATCTTCTGATGTGGTTACAGTCTACAAACCCTAAAAGGTCCAGGAGTCGTTTACCAGAGGGTCATTCTCTCACTGTCATACACTGCTGGTGTGTGGGGTCTGCACTCTGTGGTGGATGGTAGCAGAGTGTTCCCAGTGGAAGAGCCAGGCACCTGGAACTAGCTCCTTCTAGCAGGTGCCTGTTGCATCCAGATTGAATTGTAATAATGTATTTTTAAGGTACCTACATGCCTTGCTTTGGTGCTGAGCGTAATACAATTTATTTAGACATTCGTATCATTCAAAGTAGCTTTAAGAGAGGAGAGTAACATGCAGGCAGCCTGGGAAATGTGTTTGAGGAGCAATGAGAGAGGTTTTTCAACCCAGTGTAGTTGTGCCAGTTTCAAACCCTGCTCTCTATTAAACACCCTGTTCGCGCCTAATGTCTGTGTGTGCTTGTCTCCTCATCACCAGGTGAAGAGATGGCCGTGTGGCAGTCCTTGACTTTATTAGAAGAAGGATTAACCCACAGTCCTTCTAATGCTCAGTTCAAATTGCTGCTCATTCGAATTTACTGCATGCTTGGTGCATTTGAACCTGTTGTGGAGCTTTATTCCAGCCTTGATGCTAAGCACATCCAGCACGACACCATCGGGTGGGTAGTAGATACTCAGAATAACTGGTCACATTGGCTCTCTGCTAACCCTGCTCAACATTTTTAAATGTTCTATTTTCAGTTTTCTTTAGAATTACAGACCCCAGTAATATGTTGTTAAAAGGATCACTCCATTCTGGTAGGATCAGCTCAGCCCTTCCACCTTATGAAATGGATAAAATGAGTACCATGCAGTTCACACTGGGGAGGGGAAGAGAGGTCTGTTAGATGAGATCTTAAAAACCAAGATCTTGTCTTTTGGTGGACAGTGAAGATCCCATGGAGTTTTTAATAAGGTGGGGGATTTATCCTGGTGCCCTTGAATCAGATTTCCCCTACTGTCCCTATGGTTTTGCAGCGTGCTTTGCCACTTAGGTGCTGCCTTCAGCCCCAGAGGGAGCCATGTTTCTGTGAGGCTTTATCAAAATAGCATGTGGGATTAAAGGTGCTTATGTAAATGTGAGTTAGTATTGCATGTAAAACACAGACCTCAAATCTTTTTCAGCGCCACCATAATGTCCCTCAATCCATTTCTAGTTCTGCCATTTGTTTCTTATGTGGTTTTATATTGGTTACTTTTAAATCTTGGTACCTCTGAGAGTGAAGGGGACCTACTTATTGATTTCCTTCTTTGAAAATGCCTTTTGAATTTGTATGCCTGGTATGGAGGCAAAACTTAGCTCTGACATACAGTGTTGGTCATGCAATCTCAAGACTATGCTGTGGTAAAACACAGGTCTGGTCTACATTACAGACCTATATTGGTATAACTACATTGCCCGAGCAACATCATTATACCGACTTAACACACAGACACAGACAGACAGCACTATGTTGGCAAGAGAGGTTCTCCCACCAACATAGCTACTGCCTCTCAGGGAGGTGGAATAACTAAGCCAATAGGCTTAGAGTATCTTCATTAAAGCAGTGTAGCTGCGCCTGTGCATTTTAAATGTAGACTGCCCACAGATCACAAGTGCATGGAAGGGTCTTGAAGCTTTTTTTGTGGATATCAACTTAAAAAAGCTTTTGCCCCTTGGATCAGATAGAAAGAGGAGCTCTGTGTCCTGCTGATCGTGGTTAGGCAAAATTAGAATTTAATAATAATAAAAAGGAACCTTTACATTTAAAAAAAAAATTTGAAATGAACATTGTCAAATTCCCATTACCTTGTAACTCCCTTGAGACTTGTATATGAAGACAGAAGCTGTGCTGTGATTCTCTGGTCAGTGAGACTCTCGATGACATTCATCTTCTCAGGGCATTGTGTGACAGTGTATAATTCAAATTATTGTGTTATATTTCAGTTACCTTCTGACACGCTATGCAGAGTCCCTGGGTCAATATGCTGCTGCATCCCAATCCTGCAATTTTGCACTCAGGTTTTTCCACTCCAACCAGAAAGATGTAAGTCACACTAATTTCTCTCATGACTCCTAACAAAGCAGTTGTGTCCAAGTTACTGCGAAAAGAACATGCGTGTGATAGAAAGATTTATATAGGATTTGCTGTGGGTGGATCACAATAGAAAAATTGGATCTATAACATAGCAGCTTGTTGTGGCTATAGTAAAGGTTTGCCTCGGCTCTTTGTTTTCTGTTCAGAAAGGTTTATAATTCCACCACAAAACTTCATTGCTTGCTGGAATTCTGCTTTTGACCTTTCATTTTCTAAAAGCCAATATATTAGACATTCATTTCAAAAGTACTGCTGTGGCCATTTTAGATCTAATGGCTAAAGAATAGTGATTTCTGTGTGACTGTAAATAAAAAATAACATGGCAAGTGACGGGTCCATGATGGCATAAATTCATATTTAGCATTTTGGAAAGTTACGTGGCAGCACAGGTTGATAACAAAGATCCTGGTGGCATGAACCGGTGGTCCTGAAGCCTCGCAGTAGACTGGTTGAAGCAGGATAATTTATGTATGGTTAGTCACAGTGGTGCAGGTTGTCATAATAGTGCAGTAACTGTGTAGGGAATAGGGTGAGGGTATGAAGAGAGGAAAAATTAAACTAACTTTATTGAAAACTGGCTTCTATAAAGCAGAACAGAAATAAAAATTAGCTGCAATACTTTGAAACAGTAACTAAAGATGAGGATTTGGGATTCTGCCGTGCTAATGGAAACGCATTTCAACTGCCGCCACCAGGCCACAGAGTGAAAGGTGGCGTGACTTGCAGGAAAGTCTTCCGGATTTAAAGATGAGTCTCTCAACTGTAATGGGGTTCTCTGGAGTGGGGCTGATGAAAGAGCAACAGAACTCTCTGAAGAGCATTTGATATTTCTTAAAACGTGCATGCCCATGGCTAGGCCTCCCGAAAAATTCAGTTGCTTGCTTGTGACTCTTAACACATTTTAATTATTATTGTCATGACACTCTTATTTGTGAAATACGTTTCCTGGAAGAATCTTGGTGTAGCCGTAGGAAAAATATCAGTGGTATTCCACAATTGCATTGTCAGTTTTTTATGTGTGTGTTTGTTTTAAACATAACTAGATATAGAAGTACTGATATTTAGGCTCATTTCTTTAGTCTTGGGGTGAGTATTTATTAGGCAATTAGGAATAGAAGAAATTGCTCTAATCTGTAACAGTTGTTACATGATTGTATATAAGTGTTGCTCCCCACGATGAATTCAGGAGGTACATTTTGTACCACAGAATGAATTTTAATACCTAGAACTTACATGGTAATCCTTTACAAACATTGATCATCACAACATCCCTGAGCGGTAGGTATTAGAAAATTATCCCCATTTTACTGATGTGAGGAAGCTGAGATACAAAATGACTGACTTTGCCACACTTTGAGTCATTGTCTGAGCTGGGATTAGAATTTAGGAATTCTTGGCTCCCAGTGGGTGTTTTAAAACTCACTTTGTCCTTCTAACATCAAATACAAATGTAAGGGTTATCTGTACTGTGTAGAAATGCATATATGATGCATATAATGCAGTCATTGCATAGAAGAATCTCCTTGGTCTGTCAATAGCTAAATTCTTTCAATGTGTAAGGTTTCTGTAATGCTTTAACTGTCTTCTAAGGGTGGAAATAGAAGTGGTGATCTTAGTTGCAAAATGTGGCTGCAACTGATATGGAAATGATCTTGTGACAATGGGGCAGAGAACCCCAGTTGTGCAACAGACATGCTGGATAGATGACATCTTAGCTTTCTCTTGTGTTAATTTCCTCTGCTGAACTTATTTGTCAAGATCATTGGGACTGTGTCTGATGGGTGTGCACTCGTTATACTGAAATAAAATTCTGGGTGGAAACATTAATTTTTTTGATAGATGAGTCTTGGATTTATCAACATAGTGGCTTTTCTTTATGTTTCATTGAGAAGTTACTCTTGCTTTTGTTAAGCCATGTTTGATCTGTTTCCAAGTAATTCAGTGGAAGAGACTGCAATTCAGGACAAAGTGACTTTCATTGATAAAAAGTTTGACAGCAACATGCCAAGAAGGAAAAATAAAGATTTGAAGAAAACACCTAATGGACATAATTCTCTTGACTGAGCGCACTAAAGACTGTAAAGCAGCAAGAAATCCTATTGATTGGGAAAACAGCTCAGCTTCAACTAACATCAGGCTGCATTACTGCCTCTAGGCACCAATTTAAGCTAAGGTTATTCTGATCAGTATGACTTATAAAAATGCTTGGGATGGAGAAGATTCAGTTGCCCTTTTCAGTAGCTCAGGGCACATATCCATATAAAGATCTATTGAATCGCATTCCATGTGGTATTGGGACACTCTTGGCAGGAGGCACGCTATTCAGAATCTGGTGTGTCAGTTCAGTTTTCAGAATTCGTGGAATACTTCTTACCTGGATTAATGTATTGGTTTACTCGCGTCTCAAAGAATTGGAATCAAAGTGGAAAAAGATGCATTTGGAGTATCCACTTCTTCCTACTATTAGTCTGAAGACACAGTTTTGAAGACCTACACACGTCCTTTTTCTTCTCATGGATACAGCATTCCAGACAAGTCATTAAAGGCGGCTGACTAATAGC